TTAAAATTGAACACATACATATTGTCTATATATCTCGCTGCTCAATTTAGGTGGACAACAATATCCCTGGTTGTAGTCAGTTAAATGGTCATAAGAAAATTTTATTTAAGAATTAGGGCCAATCATGATAGTAATGTTACAATTAGATATATGCATGTATCGTGTCATTGGTAAACTGTCACAAATTTTTCGTGTTTAAGTGGACCACAATATTGGCGATCGATCAGACGAAGATGTGAAGATAACGGTACCGACAAGTGGAATAAGGCTGTCCAATAACTTTGATCCCAAATCACTCTTAAAGTTAGCTATTATTTTTTTTTTGTTACGTTCATTCATAGTGTTCTTCTAATTTAAATATTAGGGGAGAATTAAAAAAAATAGTGTTATTTCTGTTTTATTTTTTTTTCGGAAAATATGAAAAATCCAAAAATATTTTTGTTTTTGTTTTGTGTGCTAAGTTTTCTTTTAGTTTTGTTTTGTCTTGAAAAGTGATTTCAAGTATAGATAAGACTCATGGAGTTTGTGTTGAAAATTTCTGAGCTAAAGCCTCGTCCGTGAGCATCGAAGAATTCTCATTCGAAGGAGCAAGAAATGAAGATTATTCTTTCGACATTCAATCCTTCAACCCCAGAAGCAAGGTGAAGCTGAAATTGAAGATTATGTGACGGATTGCATTGAAGCCTCCTCAATCAGTCTGCTACTATCTTAAACCTGTTGAAGCGATCCAGAAGATTATTTTTCTCTGATGTTCTCTCTGAAGATTCTCAAGCTGAAAGCACCATCTTTCAAGAATCAGTACAAGAAGCCTCCTCACCCAATGTGCGTTCAATGTCAAATTCTGAAGAAAAGCCCAACTGCTCAAGATGAAGTCATTCATTAAAGATTCATCAAGTTCATCTTGAAGTCGTGAAGAATTTGAAGATTAATGCTGAAGCCAAGCTCTCAATAAAGATTAACAAGAAGAGCCAGGTGCTTTTTAGGGGGAGCTTGTTGGGTCAGTTAAGAAAAGAAAGCTATAAACCAAGGGGGAGATTGTTGGGTCAAAATATGGTTTATACTTTGCTTTTCTGCGCAATTGTATTTTTCTGTAATACTTTTGGAGTTTATGGTCATGTTTACGGTTGAGTTTACAGTCGTAAACACCTTACGGCCGTAAACCCATTTACGGCCCATGTTATCCGACCCATGTTCTCTAAGTATAAATATAGGTGTTAGGGTGAGGAGTAGAGATTGATGAACCCTAAGGAGTTTACGGCCAGAGAGAAGAGAGTTTACGGCCAGAGAGCATTTTGTGTGAATCTTTTGTATCTGGAACTTTAATTCATATCAATTCATACGAAGATTCATATTATTCTTCTTCTCATTCTCTTCTATTTGATCTGACATCATCCGTTTGATTGGGATTCCGCACCATTAAACGGATCTGATTGATACACAGGAAAATTAGGGACTTACAGTTTTCATCTGGCTAACGAACGCCCAACGTTCCCAATGAATGCCCATCATTCCCCAAAAGTGTCTGCATCCACTTTTCCCATGAACACCATGTTTTCCTACCTGGTATGCCCTGCCTGCATACCCGGTTTGGTCCAAAACCCTTCTAACTTCAAATGATCATAACTTTTACATCCCTTATCCTTTTTTGACGTTCTTTATATCCATGAAAAGTAAAGAGAATTCCTACACTCCTAACAACTCATATCAGCCTTAAGACCTTTCGAATAAAAATTCAATTTCCAGAAAAGCATGAACTGACACTTTACCGAAATACCCCTCGGCTCCAAAACACGAACGAACACCCGGATCACCTCCATTACATTACTCGTACCCAAATGGGTCTATATCTCACCTTTTCAAATGCCATAAGCCTTAAGATGACCGATCTTCGGACATAGCCTCAAACTAGGAATCGATTCGAAACAGGGCGTTAAAGTTTTGTCTTGATAGAAACAATTTGAGGAATGATTAGTGTTGTATTTATCATATTAACCATTTTTTCTATAATATTAGTGGTATTTAAAAACTTTCTTATGATATTTGTCACACTTAATTTTCAAAATTTAACGATTTAGTAATTTATGGTCTCCGCTTAATCCCTCGATTAATCTTCGTCTAGCCAAAATCCAGATCTAACCCTCAAATGATATCCTTAACCATAAAGTTTCCAACTTTATGGTCTTGCATGCCTATTAAGTCTTCAACATCCAAAAACCCTAACTTCTTAACCCACTAAGACATCTACGACCATGCATGGAGGAAAACTAGGGACGGATGTTACATTTTTATGGTTCCTAATGACTCCATAATGGATAAAGTTGAAAACTTTATCCATTAGAATGGTCCCAACAAACAAGATCTATACTTTATGTCTCAAAGGGACCAAAAGTGCATCTTTTTCAACTTAATCCATTAAGTCCAGGTCTCTAACCTTCATATTTGAATCAATATGATGTTTAGATGGATAAAGTTTCCAACGTTATCCATAACAAGGTCACAAACTTTCAAGATCTAAACTCTATGCACTTAAAGTGACCAAGTTCTCATAACACCCAAAACTAGCTAGATCTAACACTTTCATCGTCAACATTCAAACTTTATACCTCTAAAAGAAAGATCAAGGTGACAAGGTCTAGATCTACAAGCTCCAATGCAACCAACACTTCTTCAATGAGTTCCTTTTTCTCCAAGGTGCACCAAGAACACTCCAAAGATTTAAAACACCTTCTTTTTGCTCACAAGGCTCAAACTAGGGTTAGGGTTTCAAGAGAGGGTGTTGGAGAGGTGGAGACCGAGAATGGAATGAGTTTGGGGAAGTTAAGGAGCTTAAATAGGGCTCAAACCACGAAAATAAGGTTTGGGCACTGATCGCATACGCCCAGCGTACTGCTGGTACACTCAGTGTACTAGGGATGCCCTAGCACGCCCAATGTACTCTCCGTACACCTGGTGTACGCGACTAACCCAACTAACCCAAAAATCATCCTAACTTCAAGCAATCATAATTTCCTCGTTTCAACTCCAATTTCGACGATCTTTATATCCACGGAAAGGTATTGAGGAGCTCTACAACCCTATATAATTACTTTTGACTTCAAACACATCGAACTAAAATCTACTTTTTCCATTTTACCCTTTGACTCCAAAGCACAAACCGAACTCTTGGTTCACATAATCTACATGACCCACATCCAAATGGGTCTAAACCTCTCTTTCCCAAAGCCTAAATCCTTATGATACTTGATCTTCAGGTCACGGACCTGAATTACGAAACGACTCAAAACAAGGTGTTACAATTGTTTATTGAGTCAGATTGAGTCAAGGTCTAACGGCCCGGTCTTGAATCTGCCCGAGTAAGAGACATATCAGAGAAGTTAGTACTAAGTTAAAGGTCTTTTAAGTGTGATATCTTACAAAATCTAAGTGTTACCAAACCAAGTCAGATTCAGCCTCTTACCAGACCTAATAAGAAGCATATCAAACAATCCTAAGTGTTAAATATCAAAATCATATCCAAAAACAAAATTCATAAACAACATGAATGTTTTATGTAGTTCATTCTAAAATTTATACTAGTTTTAGTTATTTTTAATTTGATTGGTTCTTTCTTATAATTACCCTTCGGCATGCTTCTATTCTTGTTGTGTTAACTTAATTGTACTGTGGATAAAGTTTGCATGTACACACTACTAAAAAAAACGTGTCTTTTCCGAGGGACTATTTCCTCATTAATTCCTAGGAAACCGTTGTTTTTCGAAGAAATACCGAGGAAAAGTTTTGCGTAGGAAAAACCCTCCTATGTAACTTTTTGTGACGGATTTCCATGGAAACTTCCAAGGAGATATCTTTTGTCGGAAATCCTAAGGCATTTCCAAGGCTATATTTTTTCAAGAAGTTTCCTAGAATATATTTTTATGAGATTTCTTAGGAAATGTTTTTCCGAAGAATTTCCTAGGAAATATGTTTTCGAGAAATTTCTCAGTATCATACCTTTTTGATAGTTTTGGTGACACAAGGCTCCTAGGAAATGTGCAAAATGTGCAGCTTAAAAAAATTGAAAGGGTTAAAAAAATGTTGTATGAACAAAGATTAAAAAAAATGTAGCATGCACAGAAAATTTTTAAATTTTTCTTTACCCATATGAAATTGTGACATGTGTCATCCTCCTTAATAAATAAAGGTTTTTTGTCACATGTCAATCTCTCGTGAGTTTTAACATTTGTTATTTTGAGATATTTTTGAAATAAATATTATCCACTTGTCAATTTTTAGTTTTTTTAATTTTTAAAATTAAAGTCGTATACTTATATATGTAAAGTATGAAATATTATATATATGATATTAAATTGCAATAAATACATTTCTTTCTTTCTTAATTTAATGTTGTACATTAAAAAATATTTTGTATTTACACTTTAATGTTTAATCTTTTTTAAATCAATATGTGTAATATACGTGTCTTACACATAATATTTGAATAAGATTAATACTATTTTAATATATTTTTCATCATTTCAAATTGATAGAAAAATGGGAAGATATTCAATTACACTAATTAAAACGACTTATATATAGCATATAATATATACTCACCATAATTAACAAATAAAAAGATCAAAGACGGCTTAAAATTCCAACATCTAAATTCAAACAAAATGTGATTTCCATTTCCTTGCTTCTAAAAGGAAATGATGAAATCAAATAGACAGAGTCACGATCGCATTAAAAAAGCAAGAATTATCATATCTATGATTTCAACATAAAGCAACCATTCCATTATCAAAGCTATGATTTCAACATACAACACGCAGTGTCAGCTTTTTCAGATTTCTACTGGCAGCAAGCATTATTTGAGGAATAGGGTCCTCAATGTCATGGTCAAAGTTGATAAGGAATTTGCGGATGACATTCATTTCACTATTTGTGCATGTCAAGTACATTAACATGCAAGAACTGAAGATAAATTTAAACGCCAACAATTGCTCTTCCAATTTCCAAAAATGAACTCTCTAATTGCTTTCCTCTTTTCTTATAGTATCGGTATATTTCTGGTTACCACCACCATCTCTGCTTCGGGTGGTGGTAATGAGACCGATTACAAGGCGTTGTTGAGGTTCAAGTCGATGATCACCCATGATCCAAATGAAGCTCTAAGCTCATGGAACGCTTCCTTCCATTTTTGTGATTGGAGCGGTGTTATATGTGGGAAGAAGCACAGAAGAGTCATTGGTCTAGTACTGATCTCACAAGGCCTACAAGGCTCCTTGTCTCCTCATGTAGGGAACCTAAGCTTCCTTCGCATGTTTTCTCTCACCAACAACAGCTTTCAAGGAACCATCCCTCATGAACTGGGTCGTCTATTCAGGCTTCGTTTCCTCTATCTTCGCTTTAACAAATTCAACGGAGTCATTCCAACTAACTTGTCTGGGTGTTCTGATATGGAAAGGCTTCGCCTTCATCACAACAAGCTAGTTGGAAGCATACCCAAAGAGATCAGTTTCCTCTCCAAACTTACTTTGTTTAGAGTTTATGATAATAAGTTAACAGGTGGAATCCCAGCTTTCTTGGGGAATATAACATCGATGATATCCTTCTCTGTTTCCTACAATCCGTTGGGTGGGAGCATTCCAGACACCTTAGGAAATTGGAAAAGCTTAACAGTACTTCAGCTTGGTGCTTGTAACTTGTCTGGAACCATCCCTCATTCCATTTTTAACCTCTCACTCGTAACTTATTTTTCCTTGGGTGAGAATCAACTTACTGGTAGTCTTCCCTCAGCCATAGGTGCAATGCTCCCGAATCTTGAGTTCCTCCAATTGCGGGATAACCAACTCACCGGACCTCTTCCACCCTCGATATCTAATTCTTCAAAATTACAACTTCTTGAAGTGAATAACAACAATTTTAGGGGAAAGTTGGCAATTGATTTTGCAAAACTGAAAGACATATATTTCTTAAACTTTGGTAATAACGTCTACAGATTCAAAGGGGCTGATGATATGAAGTTTATTGATACTATGACAAATTGCAGCAAATTAAAGGTTTTGCAGCTTTATAATTGCAAGTTTCAAGGAGTGCTACCCACATCAATCGGTAATCTTTCTGATCAACTCAGCCTTCTAAACTTAGGAAGAAATGATATATATGGAAACCTCCCTTCAAGTATAGGTAATCTAGTCGGCTTGACCACCTTAGTTCTATCACAAAACTGGTTTACAGGAAAAATCCCCTCCACCATTGGTCAGCTTCAAAAGCTACAAGTTGCCGTACTAAGTAAAAACCAATTTTCAGGGCCGATTCCAGATGCTATCGGGAACATGTCTTTATTGTCTAAGCTTTGGTTATCTTTCAACAGACTGGAATGGCATATTCCATCAAGCATGGGAAATTGCCATCATCTATTGGATTTGCTCCTTAACAACAATCAACTCAGCGGCTCAATACCTAAACAACTTCTTCAGCTTTCATCTTTGACCATAAGATTAGATCTTTCTCAAAACAATCTGTTTGGGTCACTTCCAACAGAGGTTGGCGACCTCAAGATGTTAACTTCTCTAGATTTATCTGATAACAATTTAACAGGTGACATTCCTAGTAGCCTTGGTGGTTGCACAAGCCTTTCATTCTTATCCCTCAAAGGCAACTTATTTCAAGGCACCATACCATCCTCATTAATTTCAATGACAGGAGTTTCGACACTTGATCTTTCTCATAATAATTTGTCAGGCCAAATTCCTCAATTCTTGGAACGGTTGAAGTTATTAGAATATGTAAACCTATCATTTAATGATTTTGAGGGTGAAGTACCAGTGCTATTGGTGTTTGCCAATGCAAGTGCATTCTCTGTTTTGGGAAACAGTAGGCTTTGTGGTGGCTTGGCTGAACTTGGGTTACCCAAATGCAATGAGATCACACAGAAACATAAAAAAAGGGTTCTTGAGTTGGTAATAGTCATTCTAATTGTTTCCACACTTTTTACTGTATTGCGTTTAGTGTATGTTTGGTGTAAGAAAAGGAAGTGCCAACCTTCTCGATCCCCATCAAGGGCCGAACGATTTATGAAAGTATCATACGGTCAACTTCTGAAAGCTACCAACGGCTTCTCCAAAGCCAATTTGATTGGTGAGGGTGGTTTCAGCTCTGTTTATAAAGGAATACTTGATCATGGTGATAGATTTATTGCGATCAAAGTTCTTCATCTTCAAAATCGAGGTGCTCACAAAAGCTTTATAGCCGAGTGTGAAGCATGGCGGAATATTCGACACCGGAATCTGGTTAAGATAATAACTTCATGCTCAGGTGTTGACTTTCAAGGCAATGACTTCAAAGCTTTGGTATACGAGTTCATGTCCAACGGGAGTTTACACGATTGGTTGCATTCAAGTGCATCTACATCCATGCTAAACCTTCTTCAAAGAATTAAAATCCTCCTTGATGCCGCATCTGCACTTGATTATCTTCACAATCAATGCCTGCCAACCATCATTCACTGTGACCTGAAGCCTAGCAACATTCTGTTGGATGATGATATGGTGGCCCATGTCGGAGACTTTGGTTTAGCTCGATTTCTTGGAACAAATTCAAACCAAAACAGCACAAGTGGCATTAGAGGAACGGTTGGGTACACACCTCCAGGTAAAGTCCATTTATTCCACATGCTCATATTTATTTGTAGTATATTACCTTTTATTAAAGTAATTGGTTATAAGTTGCAGAGTATGGTGTGGGGAGTGAGATGACAAGTAGTGGGGATGTCTATAGTTTTGGAATACTATTGTTGGAGGTGATGACAGGGAAAAGGCCGACTGATGACATCTTTAATGAAGGCCTCAGCCTTCATAAATTTGCACAAATGGCCTTGCCAGACCATGTAATTGATGTTATTGATGAAGACCTTCTAAAATTTCTTCAAGAGGATGCTATTGCTACACAATCTACATTAGAATATGCAAAGAAAATAAAAGAATCCTTATCTTCAACAGTCAAGCTTGGAGTATCATGCTCCATGGAGTCCCCACCACAAAGGACAAATATCAAAAATGTTGTCCATGAGTTGCAACGAATTCTGGATATGCTTCAATAAACTTGAGGTGCCATGTTAATCAATATTTTGGTTATTAAGAGTATAAAGTGATGTCAACCTCCTTGACAAATATTAGATTTTATGATACCTAATTGGTTCACAATTTTCCATGTACTTCTCATTTGATCATATTCATTTTTTTCATCACTCTCAATTGTGTCTGAGAAAACCTTGATCCATGTTCATCACCATCTGTGCAAGCATTTGATCAAGTAGGTAGTCATATATAACTTGAGATACATTTTTAATACATTGAATTTCATTATAGAAAATTATAAACGAGAAACCCTAAATACACCTAGACACAAAGTAATGCCCGGTTGTTATAAAACCGGGTAAATTTGAAAAGATCCCTTTTGCAGAAATGAGTAATCTGAAGGAAACAGTTCATTCTTCCTCTGTCTCTGCATATTGAATCTTCAATTGAATCAAAACTAAGCAAATGGTAATTGACAGTCTTAGGTGTTGTTCCATATTTAGTTAATCGGCTTAATGTACATAGAACTTAATCCGGTAAGTTATATATGGGTACATTGAAAGTTATGTACCAATTTTACAGGAAAAAGACGAGAATATTTAGAAATTTGCTTACCATGTATTGCATTCATGTTTCCTCCATCAGCTGTGTTTCATGGACAAATTACTATCTTTATCTTCCCTTTTAACTTCAACTGATCCATCTCGCTTGGTTCTTGACACGGTTAGGTGTGGAAGATTTCCCTCAAAATCTTGAAGTAATGAGTATCCACATCTCTAATCATTCTGATTGCAGCTAGCATGCTGGGGATCAACTGAATAAAAGCACGAAGCAATATTTCTATCAAACTAATGGAATATTGAAGCAAATTATATTGTTCTTCTTAAGATTAGTATACAAGTAGCAAGTTTGTATTCATCTACTCGGTATAGGGTTTGGAGATCATAACAGTAGAAGCTTTATGTTTTTGTAAAACAAATTAACATAGTGTCCCAAAAATACTCAAGCTACTGTCTTTATTAATTCTAGTACAAGGCATATAGCTACATGTCAAGTTCATATGTTAGACGATTATAAATTTTTACTCTAAAAGTCAAAATACAGTATCTTACCTTGGAAGGGCCTCTGGTACTGAGTAATTAGAGTGTCTGCTAGATCCAACAATAAGAAAAATCGACAAAATGATACAGTTGGCAATTTAATCTAAGCTTCAACTTCACTGTCGAAGGCGTAAATGTTAGGTGAGTATAAACAAAAGGCGATTACTAGGGTTGTTCATCGGTGGATATCCAAAGTTTTTTATACAACCGATCCGATCGAATCATCCAATCAATATTGGTTATTGGGTATAATAAAGAACTGAGTAACATATGAATAGAGCTTATGCTCAGGACCATATATATAAGGTTGACTAATTTTATATTTGTAGTATGTAGGTTTTTTCTATTTTGGACTTCTACTATCAATTTAGGAATTGAGATATCCAATTCCAATCTTGATCTAATTAATTGGCACAAGGTTTGATGTTTTTGTTTGGATAAATTAAATATCCTCCTATCTTTTGTTTATACCAATCTTCCTACCCATTTAAATGATGATATGTGTCATATTAGTATCCAAAAATATCATTGAATTTCATTAAATGAACATTAAATATTACACATGTCACTATTTAATTGCGCACGATGATATGTAGGAACAAAAGGTAGGAGGATATTTAATTTTTCTTTTGTAATATCTCATTGGCAGTATTATTCTTTAATTTGTAGTTGCTTATTTACTGTTGTCCTAACAGTAACTGTTGAATGGGTGACGGATTGGTGGCATGATGCTTTAATTACTTGTAGTTTGTTGCCATATTAACTTGGTTAATGGTTGATTGGCTGTATCGCTATTTGTTTGGATTTGATTTAGTCCTTCAAGTATTAATGAGAATACTGTTTGGTATCCAATTTTGTATATTTTTGTGACAGCTGTGATGATGTAGTTTATAAAAAGAAATTAAGAATTATCATATTTTGTTAGAGACATCATGGAGTACTGCTTTTTTTTTCTTTAGAGCTCACTTACATAACATTCTCACCATAATTAACGGATCAAAAAGATCAAAGATGACTAAAAATCTTAACATATATATTCAAACAAAATGTGATTTCCATTTCCTTGTTTTTAAAAGGAAATGAAAGCAAATAGACAGAGTCATCACTTCAAAAAGCAAGCATTATCATATCTAGGATTTCAACATAAAGCAAGCATTATCACAGGTATGATTCCAACATAAAACAAGCAGTGCCATAGCTTTTTTGAGATTTCAACAGGAAGCAAGCATTATCATAGATTTTCAGATTTCAAAAAGCATGCATTATTTGACGATTAGGGTCCTCAATGTCATGGGAAAGGTGAGATGCAATTTGTGGATGACATTTATTTCACTATTTGCATGTCACGTACATTAACATCGCAAGAAGTGAATATAAATTTAAACGACAACAACTAATTTCTCTTCCACATTCCAAAATGAACCCTCATCATATTGCTTTCCTCTTTTCTAATCTTGTTATATTTCTGATTTTTGCCACCAATTCTGCTTTTGGTGGTGGTAACGAGACCGATTATCAGGCGTTGTTGAAGATACAAAAGAAAATCGATATGTGATTACAGGATGAAATTGACCATATATATGTTCTCCAAAAACCCCAAAAACAAAAAAAGCATTTATCCCGTAATATGGATCACTACTGTTACTATCACAATTGTTTATAAAGAAATATTCATTGAATCCTCATCAAAAGCAATCTAGATAACAAAAAATTATCAAGAAATATTCAGGGTGGAAAGGGGAGGGTACAAACCAGATGATAGAAAATATGGAGAAATGGGGGATGAGAAATTTTCCTTTAGCTTTGTAACAGGGAGACATAGCATGAATGTTCGTCAATGAGAATCGCTTCCAAAAAAAAATTACTGAATCAAAGCGTTGAGGCTAATCAGGGAAAACTAAGGCAAAATAACCCAAACTTCGGAATTGTTGATTCGAGATCAAACGAGAAATATTTTTTACTTGATTCAACCTTCGTCTTCTCCCCATCTATTTGTTTCCTATAACAGAGAGATAGATGAACACAGAAAGAAGAAAGAGAGATGCAGATGATTAGATTAAGAGAAAATCAAGTCATCAGTTTCTTTCTGGAAGGTGTCCCAACAGGTGTGGTGGTCGAAACAACGTGTCCCTGTTTCGGTGAAAGAGCCTTGCCGTGTCTTTCTTTAAGCCTCGTTCACGCGCTGTACGCGCTTTTAAAAAAGTTGGGCTCTTATATACAGTAACGAGATGAGATATATACCTTCAACCTTATTATTATATTTAAAAAATAAAAAAAATAAAAAAAAAACGTAGCCTCCGTCATCATCGTACTCCTGCTGTCCAAAGTTTTCTCCATAACATATTCCCCATCACTCCGGCATCAACGTATCAAGTAAACTTTCCCTTTCTCCCTTATTTGTTCTTTTTCTTCGATTCTTTCTTTATATCTTCTTGTATGAATTGATGAATTTCATGGTTTTTTGTATCTTCTTGCGTCAACGTATAGCCTATAGGTTTTCTCCATTGCTCCTGCATTCCATGTAATTTTAAAGAATTCGTGATAGTCTTAGAGTTATATTAATTTTGCTGCTTTGATTTGGAAGGAACCGATCAATTGATTTTCTTTGATTTCCTCTTAAACACACAAACCTTATGCAGTACACTGTGGTATCTTATTTTTAAGGGACACTTTGGGTTTCCTACAAGTAGCATAAAACGAATCACCCGCCAAAACAATAGTTTTTAACCCTCAAACTGTAGAAGCAAACATAATACGAACAAACGTATATTTCTTTTACTGTCAATTTCCAATTTTTGTATTATAAAAAATTCATAATTTCAGGAATTAATTTCATTACGCCATTTAACGACACAAAGTTCCTAATTACCATAGTTATGCCATTTACTGAAACACGGGAACTAGATGTTACTGTTTGATGTTCAATGATTGGTTTATTCGTTTACATGATTTATTTTTCCCGTTTACATAGCAACTGATAATCTGATAGCATTTGCATTCTGTGATCACGACGCGATCAGTCCACTTAGGGATTAACATCGATAGAGCAATTTACCTATGCGATGAAATTAGGTTTTATTTTGAAACGTAATCCATGAATTTAGGTTTTGATGTTATTTCAATAGTTTTCGAGTTCCTCTTGGATCTTTTTTTGTTCGTTAAGTTATGGATTTGTATACGTTTCCATTGCTTTGTCTTGGGGTTTGTATTCATGATTTAACGCCTGAATTTGAATTTTGGTGTAGATGGTTACATCCAAGACTCTGATCTGCACCATCCACTCGTGTCGCATACTCAGCCTTATCAACAAGCTTTTCAGAATCAAGCCAGTTGTCGTACTGTACAGATGCAACAGAGCCAGAAAAACTCAACAATATTACACAAGGTGCGCCAAAAGCAGCAAGTACCAATTGCTTTCTATTTTTCTTTCATTTCCCTTTGATATGTTTTGTTTCTACACTGGAATCATATTTTTTTCTGTTAAGTAGCAAGTACCAATTGCTTTCTATTATATTTGTTGTTGACTTGAGTGCTCCCTTGTTATGATTTTTTTTTTCTCGGTTTTTTATGAAAATTTTCAAATGAAAATGAAATTTTTGAAAAAACATCGTTTAATTGATTTAGTTTTGAAAACCTTCCAAGAAAAAATAAAAATTTCCTATCTTCCTCTGCTATGAATATCCTACCTAATATCACACTAAATTTCTTGTTTTTTTATATACAATATATATTCACAACCATTACATCAGTGTTCGGTTTCTAACCTAATGGTTTTTTTTTTCAGAGTGCTCATCACTAACAATCCAACTTTGATGAAACCCAAAACAAAAAAGGTATGTTTTACTCTTTTAACGCCTTTGAATTAGTTAGATACAAATTTTGTGGCACCTTAGACACTTCAACGTTTGAATATTGAAATATGTATATTTGAATACAAATATGAGCTTGCTTATAATATATGCATTTTTGTGTTCTTTTTATTTGGATTATTTTTCTTGTGGGTGGACTTAAAACCTTATTCTTGTGTTGCTAACATTAGACCTTCATCGGAGTATGTTTCTACTATTTTATATTTATTTATTTATATATTAAATCTTTCTCAAAACAACCTGTTTGGGTCGCTTCCAATAGAGGTTGGTGAACTAAGGTTGTTGAGTTATCTAGATTTATTTGATAATAATTTGTCAGGTGATTTTCCTAGTAGCATTGGTGGTTGCACTAGCCTTGTATTCTTATTCTTAAAGGCAACTTATTTAAAGGCACCGCACCATCTTCATTAATCTCCATGACAGAAATTTAAAAACTCAATCTCTCTCATAATAAATTTTCGGGCCAAATTCCTCAATTCTTGGAACGTTGATCTTATTAGAATATGTAAACCTGTCTTTTAATGGTTTTGAGGGTGAAGTACGGATGATTCAGTGAATCAGTGTTTGCCAATGCAAGTGCATTCTTGTTTTGGGAAACAATAGGCTTTTTGTGGTGGCTTGGCTAAACTTGGGTTACCCAAATGCAAGGAGACACGGAAACATAAGAAAAGGGTTCCTATGATCGTAATAGTCATTCTGATTGCATCCATACTTTTCACTGTATTGTTTCTAGTGTATGCTTGGTGTAAGGAAAAAAAAAAAAAAAAGGTCAACCTTCTCGATCAACATCGAGGGACGAACAATTCATGAAAGTATCAAACAGTCAACTTCTCAAGGCTACCAATAGATTCTCCAAAGACAATTTGATTGGTGAGGGTGGGTTCAGCTCTGTTTACAAAGGAGTCCTTGATCAGGATGATACATTGTTGCGGTCAAAGTTCTACATCTTAAAAACCGAGGTGCTCACAAAAGCTTTGTGGCAGAGTGTGAAGCATGGCATAATATCCAACACCCGAATCTGTTGAAGACAATAACTTCATGTTCAAGTCTTGACGTCCAAGGCAATGACTTTAAAGCTTTGCTATACGAGTTCATGCCTAATGGAAGTTTACATGATTGGTTGCACTCAAGTGCAAGTAAATCCAAACTCAACCTTCTTCAAAGACTAAATATTATCATCGATGTTGCATCTGTACTTGATTATTTCCACAATCACTGTTTATCGATCACTGTGACCTGAAGCCTAGCAATATTCTACTCGATGATGATATGGTGGCCCATGTTGGAGGCTTTGGTTTAGCTCAATTTCTCGGAACAAATTCAAAGGAACAAGGTGCAAGTGGCATTAGAGGAACAATTGGGTATGCACCTCCAGGTAAAGTTGATGTTTTCCTAGATGCTTATACTTATTTATGGTGATACACTTTTTCTAAAGTGATTGGTTATAAGTTGCAGTGTATGGCATTGGGAGTGAGATGACAAGTAGTGGAGATGTATGCAGTTTCAAAATACTTTTGTTGGAGGTGATGACAGGGAAAAGGCCGACAGATGGCATCTTTAACAAAGGTATTACCCTTCATAAGTTTGTTGACATGGCCTTGTCGGCCAATGCAAGCGATGTTATTGATGATGATCTTCTTAAGTTTCTTCAAGAAGATGCTATTGCTAGGAAATATACGTTAGCAGATGCAAATAAAATAGAGGAATGCTTGTCTTCAACTGTTAAACTAGGAGAATCATGCTCCATGGAGTCCCCACAACAACAGATGAATATCAAAAATGTTGCCCATAAGTTGCAACATATTATGAATATGCTTCAGTAAATTTGAGGTGCCACGTTAGTCAATAGTTTGGTTGTTAATCATTAAATATGGATGTACTTGAGTATTTGATGAATCTTGGATTTTGATGGGTATCAAATGTAAAATATTTAGAATTAATTTATAAAATATGGCTATCGTTTCTAAGGAAAAGTTAACGCTTTGGAGTACACATGTAAAGAACTGAAATGGTGGGAAAAACTGCAAATGTTGAAACTTTGAAAAAGTGGGTGCCCACCTTCACCGACAAACCCAAGGCTCTCATTTGATCATATTCAATTTTACACCATTCTCTCTTAGGAACTTTCTACTCAAACAATAAACCTTAATTCATGAATCATGTTCATCAACATCTGTGCACATAAACAAGCCTTGTACATTTAGACATAATGATAAACAAGTTACAAATAGTCATATAATTTGAGATACATTTTTTATACAATGAGATCATAATGCATTATAGAAATTTATAAACGAGGAACCCTAAAAACACCTAGACGCAAAGTCATACCTGTTTGTACTAAAACTGGGTGTGTTTGAAGGAAACAACTCATTCTTCCTCTGTCTCTGCATATCATATCAAATCATCAAACAAAACAAAACAAAACTAAGCAAATGGTAGTTAACAGTCTTAAGTGTTGTTTCATTTGTAGTTAGTGAACTTAATGGACATAGATAGAACTTAATCCGGTAAGCTATATATATGATTACATTCAAAGTTATGTACCAAATGTACAGGAAAAGAGGAGAATATTTAGAAAATTTGGTTACCATGTATTGCATCCATGTTGTTTTCCTTGAAAACACCAAGGGGTGAACCATGAACAGACAGAAGCATCTCACCCTGTTTTGGAAGCCTTAAAGTTTTAGGCGTCACACCAACAGACAACCTTTGACTCGTCACCTGCAACCATAACAACTCCAAAAATAAATATATATATAAATTATAAAAAAGTAAAATCCATATAACAATGATACATTAGAAGTGATATATTATATACCCCAGGAGTCTGCATAGATTCTTCAAAGCCAAGAATATGAGTTTCTGATGGCTCCTCCAGAACCTAAAACATGAACCAAATAAGAAAAAACACCCAATAACATAAATGTAATGAGAAAACTTTTCTCATATCAAAATGCATAAATAACAACATACAAAATCCTTGATTTGAAGATTATCAGTGCCAATGAAGCTGCTCATTTTCCCTGCCACCAAGATAAACGTGTAAATAAAACCATAAATGAAAAATGAAAACTCAAACCCTTATTGCATACATATTACATACACAGCTTACCAGTTTTACTTAAAAACTCGGAGCCACCAACAGATGGCATAGCAGTAGAGCAGTCAGGATAAGCCATGGACATATGTTGTAAAAATGAAGTGATCATGTTTCCTCCATCACCTGTGTTCATGGACAAATCATCACCTTTATCTTTCCATTTAACTTCAATTGGTCCATCTTTATCTGTTCTTGACACAGTTAAGTTAGGGAGATTTCCCTCAAAATATTCAAGTAATGGAGTCTGAAGCTGTTCCTTTCTTATATTGGATTTCATCAACCGCAAAGCAGTAAGTAACCTCTCAATCTCCACATCCCTAATCGTCCTGATTGCAGCACGTTGAGGTTCAACTGATAAGAGCACAAAGCAATATTTCCCTCAAACTCATGAAATGTTGAAGTAAATTATAGTAGTATTTTTCTTCTTAAGAGTAGCATAACAAAATCTACAAGAAGCAAGGTTTGTTTTGATCTAAAACAAAAGGTCATTGAGAAAGAAATGCTGGTTTTGCTAACAAGGAACAGACCAAAACTTGAAGATAACAACAAAGATGGCATGATATAACTTTGACATGAATAATGTAAGTAGTTAATACAATAATGGATAAATGGGTAATGTAGTGCCCTAAAAATACTCCAAGCTACTGACTTTATTGATTCCAGTTACCAGTACAAGACATATAGCTATATATCAAGTTCATATGTTAAAGATTACAAATTCTGACTCCAAAAAGTCAAAATAAAGTATCTAACTTTCGAAAAGCCACTGGTGCTCAATACTTAGAGTGTCTGCTATAAGAAAGATCGACGAAATGATACTGTTAGCAATCTAATCTAAGATTCTAAGCCATCCAGAACTAGTTTGACTTTGACCAAAACATGAACAAGAGATTTCCTTGGTAGAAATTGAATCGGACCACCAAATCATTAATAGATAATAAAGTTACAAAGCATATACCTTCTTGGTCAATAGAATCATTTTCTTGCAGAAGCTGATTTGCATCAATGTCGCACACAGTATTATTCACATGAGATAAATCAGGCTGTTTTGCCTTTTTTGCCTTCCGTTTAGGCATCACAAATGCAGAAAAGTTGCTCAATTGAACTTCAACACCAGAATTACAACTCAGTGCACCTCTGTGCCAGAAATTGAACATCAGTAACACAGAATTGAGATTGAAAAAAAAAACAATTAGATTACCTGGGGCTCTAAAGCTTCATTAAGAACATAGGAAGTAATTGAGCGCCAATAAACTAGGGTTCTACAGGGGATTGCTTTTTTGAATTCTGCAAGATTATTTGAACCATCAATATGCATTTTAGAAAGGAGAAAATCATTAATGTAGTTTTTTGGCCCATCACAATCCACATTCATGAGCGATAAATTCAAAGAAGTTCATTTGGTTCCAGATGTGGGGAACATTGGTCTACAGGAGAAGAGTATTCAAGGTATGAAGCCATATAATATAACTTGAAAAAGAGCAGGAAGAATAATTGGAGTGATATAAATGATGATATTGATTATTGCCTATCACAATCCACAATCAAATATAGAAGCTCACATTTAGTTGCATTTGATACTTCTTCCTTATAAGTAATGTCCACGGCTCAAATTTAGTTAACAACATCCCTGTAACAACCCACATTGAAATGAAACTCAAACTAACCAAAACAAGCAAAGCAAATCGATGAACCCAGCTAACCAAAACACGCAAACAGCTAGCAATTAACACACAGTACCACAACCACACTGGAACAAGAGAACACCAAAAACATCGAAGCGAAAGTGTAAAACTGATCTGAACAAAAAACGGATTCTAACCGGGCCTCTTGTGAGTGAGTGACAGATGGAGATCAGAGGCTCGGAGGAGCAGAAGGTCGCCGCCCGCCTGCAGCTGTCCGCCGGAGTGGAAAGACAAAGAGATGATGCGACTGTGAGCGGTGAGAGACGAGGTAGGGAGCGGATGCGACTGTGAGAGATCGGCGCAGGAGGTATGGCTACGGCTTCGTATTTGACTGAGAGAGATAGAGAATTACCGGAGACGATGGAGGAAACATGTGTGATCTTGGACTCGATTGAAATTTTGAAACGTTAAATGAGAATCGCGCCTGATACCCCTTTTCACCAAACCCTAGTTTAGATATAGTTTAGATTCACAAACGGGAAATGACCGACCATCTTTTACATTTTGATCGTGACATCCTGTTATATTTTAGGATTCGATTGAAGTCATTATTGAACCAAAAATTTTAATAAAATTTTAAAAGCTTATTTTAATTAAATTTTAAAAGCTTATTTTAAGATAAAAAAATTATTATTTCTCACATAATCTGTTATGTTTTATTAAAATATAAAAATGATTATTTCATTAATTTGAGTAAAATGTTAAATAATTAAGATTTTTCTGTTAAAAAAATTAAAAATATATTAAAAAAATTCAAAATAATAGAACTTTTCTTTCTTTTGCATGGTCTATAAATTTATATAAAAAATCAAAAATAATAATAATAAATAACGTTAATATCATATATATATTCAAAATGTTTTAATTAATCATTCCACTAAAAAACAAATTTGTTTTGGGTTATAAAATAGCATTCAAATTATTGTTTTGTTTTTTAATATATCATTTTTACAATGATATTTTAAAAAAACAAGACAATAGATCATTACTTTCTAACAAGTATTTTAGTTGAATTTAAATAGTTGTTTACCTTTTTATGAAATTAACCCAAAAAATCATTATGACCAGATAGTAAATATTTATTTGGTTTTTGATGATTAATAAATAAAAAACTTCATAGATGGTCCATGTGGCATGTACTTCCCATAAATCTGAGATATAATCCTGAAGTTCTAAAAAACCTCATAGATAGTCCATATGATTTCAAAACTTTTAACAAACGGTTATTTTTGTTAACTTCGTTAGCATTTGGCAATTAAGTGCTATATAATTAAAATAATATGGGGGTATTTCCATCATTTCACTGTCACAGTGACCATTTATGAGGTTTTCTTTTATTTAAAAAAAAATGAAATCTAATATACAATGGGTCCCACATCTCTCTCTCTCTCTCTCTCTCTCTCTCTCTCTCTCTCTCTCTCTCTCTCTCTCTCTCTCTCTCTCTCTCTCTCTCTCTCTCTCAACCAATCACTTGCAACTAAAGTTTGGTGAAGATCAAAAAAAAGTTCAAATAGAAAGTCATTGTCAGATCTAAGATTTTATTGTAATGGTTGGTTTGTAAATGAGGTAACTGTGGCTTGAAACAATTTTATCTTCATCTTTCTTCACCTCTTCTTTTTCCATTAGCTTATGTTACCATTGTTTAAATCAAAACCAAATGTGAAAGTTTAAATCCCAAAATTAAAACCTACAACTAATTAATACCACCCCCAAAAGTGTATGTAGGCAAAATCGAAAGGAAAGGAAATCACCATCTTCGACCCTAAATAGAAACTTGGATAAATGTTGTGTAACATTCTGTTTAAATTAAATAAATAAATAAATAAAATAATAAGTTGTCCTTCCCCCTTTCGCTTTCATCGTCGTTGTTCCCGTTGTTGTTGAGGTTTGTCGTCGTTGTTCCTGTTGTTGTTGAGGATGAGGACCGACGACGGACGTCGTCGTCTATGGTTGGTGACGGATGCAACCGCCTCTCTGTCGCAAATGTTGTCCTTCCCCCTTTGCTTTCGTTCAGGCCAGTGTTAGTCATTGTCGCTGCCACTCAAACGACCTTTCTGTTGCTCCGGTCATCATCCATCAATGTCTACCGTCGCGAGGGAAGCTGAGTGTGTATGTGTTTCAGTAGGTGCTCGTGCTTCACATATGTGTGTGTATCACTGCTACAATCATGACTTGTGTATGTATTTTGGTTGGTCGGAAGTTGAAGAGAGCCACCGTGGCAGCCAATCATGGTGGCTGCCGCCCTTTCTGCTTTTTTTGCCACCACCAGCCACCGTGTATGGGTGATTGTGTGTGTGTGTGATATGGTGTTTAAGTGTATGTTCTAATGGTGGATGTTATATAAGCATTTCGTAGTTAGAAGTGAAGAAAACCCACCACCACCACCGTGAGGTGGTGGCTGCCACCTTCTGTCATCGTTCTACCACCACCAGTCGCCACTTTGGGTGGTTGTGTGCATGTGTCGGTGTTGGATTAACGTCATGTGTAAACTGAGAGGCTTTAGATGGTGTTTGGACCTAAAATTCATAACTCTCGCGTTTGAAATGGTGGTTGCCGCCTCTTACCGTCATGGACCACCACCGACCACCACTGCCCGAGGTGGTAGTGAGTGGTGCCTGATTTATTAAAATATGTATTAATTTAATTAGCTAATCATCTAGCTTAAGGATTTGGAAACCCTAATTAGGGTTTAGAAAACCCTAATATCAAAAAACCCTAATTTTGGAGTTGGTCAGGACCCGCATTAAAACTATTAATTAAACCTAAAATAATAATTAATAATCCTTTACAATTAACTTAATGCAATATTGGAATTAATGGATTAAGTCCTTAAGGGATTAAGTGCGGAACACTAACCCTAGTTATCATTTTATGTGAAAATCCCTAGAATCGGGGTGCCCTATTTTAGATAATGATAGGTCGTGTATTCGGCCTATTGATAGGATTATTATTACACCTGAGAGTGACTAAGTCAAACCTTAATCAGTCATATCCTTATATGATTAGGTCCTTAACGGGTTAACTGTTCTCACTTAACCCTAATCGTTATTTTATGTGAAACCCTAATCATCATTTCATGTGAGGTGGTCAGTGTTGCAAGTGACTATGACATGTTATCGGGTATTGACTCAAGTATCTTCCTGTAGGTGATTGGAATTGAGTTGAAGTTGGTAGAGTCCTTTATTGCTACAGTGGTTATCGACGCACATCTCAAGGTATGTTTTGCCTCACTATACCCGTGGGTCGAAGGCACCAATGTTGGTTCTCTAGTTTTGGTTATCTGGTAGTAGAGGGATGCCTTAGTGATCTGTCAGATCTGTGTTTTGGTATCGAGTATGTTGCTATGTTTAAGTGACCTATTAGATCTGTGTTATGGTATCAAGTATTTTGTTATGATGTAGTGATCTGTCAGATATGTCACTTGGTAATAATCCATAGGACTATATGTATATGTGCTTGTTGGTTATCCTCTATAGAGTGCCCTTATGGCTTATGGATTGTCTGTGATCATGTAGGATAGTCTGAGAACTCTTGGTCTAGGCTCTCTTTTATGTTCCTTGTTTGGTTGTGGCTTTAGAGTAGGATCATCTGTTCGGGTGGCTATCTCACCTCTAGTTACTTATGGTTACGCATTCTATGGAGGTTATATGGTATGATGTGAGAGGACCAGTAAGTGGTAGTGAGTTGTATGATTGTTGTTTGCTTGTATTATGTGCCTACTTAATCCTAATTGTTTATATGTCGACATATTGTATTTGGTTTGGGTTGAGGCGGTCCTGCTCTGTGCGGTAGGACAAGATATCCGGTGAGGGACGGCTGTAAGCCATAGGCACGGAGGCTTAAGAGGAGCGGTTTGGGTTGAGGCGGACCAGTGTAGACTGAAGGCCAAAAGACCCATGGCGTCCCGGATACACTGCAGTCCTGGAAGGCATACCAATCAGGCCGAAGGCCCATAGAACGATCCATATAGGCTGAAGGCCCGATGAGGCGTTCCAAGCATGTTGACGGTTTTGTGAGCATTCTAGATAATCTGTAGGTCGGCGCGACATTCCAATCAAGTTGAATGGTCTGTGTGCATGTTGTTTGTTAATATGGTTATATGGTGGTATTTTGTGGGGAAACTACTAAGCATCATGCTTACCTAGTTGTTTATTGTTTCAAGTATCATTAGTGATTACGGGAAGGCAAAGGCGAGACTGTACACACTCATCAGCAACTTTGAAGATTCCGCATTTCCTATAATACTCTAGCGTTAATAAATGTAATTGTATATAACATCTTGTTTTAAATAGGAAAATTAATGATAAACGCGGAACCCCGAGAAGTAATTTTATTATTATTTTATATTATTATTGTCCAAAATCAAAAATTAATTAGTGGGGTGTTGGTTTCGGGGTGCCAAATGATATACTTTTGATTTCTGAGGGTTAAAGAGTAAATATCAGACTTATTCTGAGAAGGATTCTTGAAGCTAGGGTAGAAATGGTAATTTATGGATCTAAATTGAGAATAGTTTGTAGAGTAGGGGTTGTTTTGGAACTGTTGGACTTATATTGAAAAAAATTATGGGGGCAAGGGTTTTAAGGGTAAATTAAGGATCGAAATTGAAAGAATAGAGGGAGGGAGGGACCAGAAGCATGATTATGGATAAAAGTTTGATGGAGATGGGATATAAACTCGTTACCACCCGGTAACCCTAACCCTAAGCCTCTAAATACCAACCGCCATCTCTATCCTTCTTCTCCAGCCGCCGCCATCTGAAGCATCATCGGACGTCAAGGTCACCAGAAGAAACCACCAAGGCCATTCTCGAATTGGGGAATACCAATCGAAGGTGCTGGTCAGGCCTCGTCGCTGCCATGGCCGCCATGCGGCTACTTCACCGCTGTTGCAGTGCATTTTCCTTCCTCCGCGTCTTCTTCTTCCCTTCTCTCTTCTCCGCTCGACTGCCTCATGCCACCGTAGGGGGTGGCTGGGATGGGATGTTGTATCCATTAAGAACTCGTTGCGGGATCCGTGTATCGGTGTTCGTTGGCCAGAAAAAGACCCAAGAAAACCATCATGGATGCCGGTCATGGTGGCTATCGCAGATGACACTGTTGTTGCCGCCACTCCGAGTCATTGTCGATGCCATCGTGTTGCTTCAAGCGACCAGCGGGGCTGAGAAACGCAAAGACCAACCGCCATATGCCACCATTTTGGGTGGTTTTGTTCGCATCTAGCAAGTCGGGTGTGGGTTGTTGCTGTTTGCTGCCTTGTTTTCGTCGTCACCAGCCACCATGGAAGGTGGTTGTGTGTGTGTATGATCTATTTATACATTAGGTGGGTGTAACATATTGTGTGTTGCAGTGTGTGGGTGTGAATCCCTTGGTTGGAATCTGGAAAAGAAGTCACCACCACCACCAGCCACCACAAAGGTGTGGATGTGTGTGAGCGTATTTTTATTGTTGTATGTGTAGCTTAGTATGTGTTACTGAGATTGCATTGTAAATTGTAACAAAAATGGAATAATGAAAAGAAAAACACAAACCACCACCGTAGGGTGGTGGCTGCCGCCTCCTACCGCCACCGGCCACCGTGTTGGGTGACGGTGGGCTTTGTTAGTGTTTTGGACTCGTTTGGGATGCATGAAACCCTAATGGGCCCAATGAATCCCACATTGACCTAAAAGCCTAACCAATTGACTAATGGACTAGTATTAGGTTGGAACCCTAATTAGGGTTTAGAAGACCCTAATGCTATGAAACCCTAATTTTGGGATTGATCGGGACCGCACGGGAATTATGTATTAAACTTAAAATAATAATTAATAATCATGTGCAAATTAACCTAAGGCAATATTGGACTTAATGGATTCCTTAATGGGTTAAGTAGGAACACTTAACCATATTTGTCATTTCATGTGAAAACCCTATTTTCACTTGGGCCTCGAGTTGGTCCTTCCTATTGGGCTTTGGTGATTGGGCAATTGAATGGCTATCTAAGAAAGTAAATGGACCTAAATAATAGGAAAGACTTTAGGGTAAGGCCAATGTGAGAGACATGGGCCCAATTTGGAAAACTGGGTCGTAGATGGGCCATATACGGGCTTTTATGATTATGTGATTGTAACGCCTGTGTTTCCGGGCTTGCCATTTTTAGCAATGTAATGGTCTAGGTTAACCTTTGTAACCCGTTTTGAAATAATATAAGTGTATTATTTGAGTATTATGTGTTTTGTGCTTAATTGCTTAATTATGTGGTTTGATTAATTAAGAATAAAAATAAGCGTCAAAATTTAAGTGTAAAATAAACTTGATATCTTTAGATAATGTTGTAGTCGTTGAAACAAGGTTTCCGGAGATATAAAGAATGCCGAAATCCGAGTTATAACGAGGAAGTTATGACCTGTCGAAGTTTCGCGACAGAACCGGCAACGCTGAATAACGTAAAAAGTGAAATTTACGTTAAATCGATATTTAGCCTTAGTGATCTAAACGAGAATCGAAGATCTCGTTGTTAGCATCAAAGCGATAAAAAGTTAGGCGAGAACGGACGTCAAACGAAGAACTTATGAATTTATAACGAAATTTTCTGTCCCGGCCTATTAAAAATAAATAATAAAAATTAATTCAAAATTAGTTGACGGAGTCTAAACGAAAGTTGTAGAGCGTAGTCTCACCTTTCTGTGGATATAAAGAACGTCGAAAACGGATTTCGTATGAAGAAGATATGAATTTCCGAAGTTTATTAATTAATTTGTATTTATTTTTAAATCAAAATTCGGAAGCATTATCCGAAGGCGAGTCACAGGTCTGATCCGACTTACGCGCCGCGTAAGTGAGTACGCCCTGCATACTCCGAAAGTGTCAACATCGCAGCAAGTGGCTTCGGATACGTAAGCGATAACGTTTCTCGGACCAGTACGCCCCGCGTACGAGGAGCTTCCAGCCTCCTATAAATAGGATGCGAGGGTTCCGGGTTCCATTGCTATTTTCCTCTCGTTTTTGTGCCGAAGCTCTGCGTTTTTACCCCCGAAGCCATCCCGAA